GTTTGGCGTGGGGTACAGATGATCTAGTCCTTCTGTGTTTTACCTTGTTCCTGCCTGAGGAGGAGCATAGCCTCGGGCTTCTCTGCAACTGGGAGTGGGAGAAACCCTGTGGAGACATCCAACCTGAGGCACCTCTTGTCAATTAATCTTTGTTTCTCCCCTCCTCGCTGAACCAAACAAGAGATAAAGCTGAAGCCCATCCTGCTGGGCAAGCACGTGGGGGCTCCCAAGGTGAACACAAGGCAGGTGAGGGTCATGAGGGAGAGATGAAAGGCAGACAAACAGACTGACCAGTGCTTCCCATGATGTCCGCAAGGCCCCAGATCCTCTCTTCCCATTGTTCTGTGAGCCAGGGGGAAGAACTTTTTTATTTAAAGAAGCTTTTTATCTTAAAGGTGGAGCTCAAGTCTGTCAGTTAGAAAAGTACTCTCAGGAGGGACCAGCAGAGTAAGGGCCAGCCCCCTCCCCATCTCACCTAGTGGGAGTCCGCCCAGCTCAGGGCAACCAGGGCTAGGGTTCCAGAGTTTCCTCCTCTTTCAAGGGTACTGCACACAGCCCTAGCAGCCAGGCCTCTAGCCCACCGCTGTCTGCAGAGGGGAGGTCCAGAACCCAGCTCTTTCTCTAAGACGGCCCTACTCTCACCCAGAAGTTTGGAGGGAGGTAGGGAGGCCAAAGGTTCCCTCACAGGGCCTGGGGTGGGGGTTGGTGAGCAAGCAGGGAGCCTTTCCCAAATGAGGGCTTAGAGTGTACCCAGGGCCAGCTGCACAATTTGTGAGGCCCAGTGCAAAATGAAAATGCAGGACTCCTTGTTCAAAAATGAAGCATTTCAAGTTGACAACAGCAGCTCATTAAACCAAGGGATCTTGTGCCACCGTAGAGGCCAGCCGCGCATGAAGCCAGCCCTGGCTGGCCCCCAGATTGTTAATGTCTGCTCACCCAATCCCTAGGCAGCTCTCTGATGGGCGACCAGTTCCCCAAATGCTCGGAGGCAGAGGCCCACCTGCAGGATGGGTCCCTGCCCTGGCCACTTCTCCATAAAATGATCTGTCCCCAGGTGTACCAGCCCCACCTGACCTGAAGGCGTCCCAGGGGCAGGCACAGGCCTCATTCAATCTCTGTGTCCTCAGGATAAGGACTGGATACAGTAGATTCTCAATAAAAGGTAGATAAGCTGAGTTTCCCTTATCAGCTGGTCAGCTCCAGATGTAATACAAAGCAGAACTCTCCTCCCCTTTTGCACACAGTCAACTTTCATTCATACTCGTGGGAATTCCTCACTCTTTCTCAAGGCAACAAGTCTTCAAAACCCTGCAGGATCTCATGCCTTCCCCCAGTAACTTGTTCCCCCTCAGCCTGCACGTGCCTCTCTCCGCGGTCAGGCTTCCTCAGTCTGGTCCCTTTCTGTCCCCCGCACCCCTCTGCCACCAGGCGGGCAGGTTAGAGCTGTGGTGTGATTTTGTCCCTGGCTTTGAATCTGCATTGAGTCTCCTCCTGCCCTGCCCATGAAAAGAGGCAGCTGGGGTTTGTAACGAGTGGGCTGGGTACAGCCCGGTGCCTGGCACTGAATGTCAGGTTGCTCCAAGGGGGAGATACACCCGCATGGATGGGAGGGCTCGGAGGTCAGTGAGGGGTGGGATGCAGCATGACTTGGGGCAGCCTACCTCTTCTGTTGCAGCATGTGGGCCTCGTCCACGTGCTGATCCCAGTCCTGCTCTCTGACCAGCCAGGAGGCCAGCAGTTTCTGGAGTTGGACCCAGGGTCCCTCTGCCTTAGGTGGAGGAGCCCCCATATCTTCTCCTTTCAGGCACTGGCAGGTTAGGGAATGTGGTAAAAGGAGCCAGTCTGGGACTCCTCAACTGAGGAGGAGGCGGAGTCTGTTTGGGGTTGGGACTGAGAGTCTATCTCCTGTGTGACTTGTGTATGCAGCGTGCGGTTTGTGGGTGGAGTGTGTGTGAGTGTCTGTGCGCTCGCGCACGCGCGTGCATGCCTGCATGCACTGAGGGGACTGGGGGCCCTGCCAAGAGAAAGCAGCTTTACCTGGAGGAGGCGGAGCTCTTTCTAGAGAGCCCCTGGGGCACAGAACCTGCCCTAGAGCTGGGAGGGGAGAGGGGAGGGATCTTCAGTTCCTGGCAGTGGGCTGGGGCCCCAAGTGAGACAGGGGAAGGTGAGGGAGGGTGAGACAGTGGAAAATAGAGGGGAAGCAAGGATGGAGCCCAGAAGGTGGGCCCCACAAGCAAGGTGAGCACTTACTGAGATACAGGGCAGTAAGAAAGTGAAGCCCTCCAGCTCAGCAATCAGGCAGGTCCTGGTTTGAATTCTGGCTCTTGGCCCTTACAGATCATTTAGGTGAGCTTTCTGAGCCTCAGTCTTCCAATCTGTAGAATCAGGCCAATAATTGTACTATCTCATGGAAGTGTCCCTTAAAGCATAATCATAAGAGCTCAGGGACTGTTGGTTCTCCTTCCACAGATAGGCTCCAAGCCCCAAGGGGCTGCTTCTCCGTGTTGTGGTTGTCTCTGTCCTCAACCCTACAGCCAGCCTCCTGGAGGCTTCCAGGCCGCCCTCCTCTGTCTTCCTTCCCAGCTTCGTGGATCCCCGGTCAGGGGAGACCCCAGAGGTGGAACCATAGGAGCTGAGCCAAGGTGGTGGATGGAGAAATCTTGGGACTTTCTCCAGGAATGAGTAGGCGGGAAGATTGAGGACAGAAGACCTTGTGTTGTTTTCTGATAGGATGGGTTCCATTTCTCTTGGGATTATAAATGCATTTATTGAATTGGAGTCATTCAGGAGGCCAGGGAGGTACATGGGAATAGGTTGGGGGCTCTCTTTATATTCTAATGAGGAGACAGAGCACAGAGGGGGAGGGTGATGGCCCGTGGCTAGTAGGAAAACTAGAACTGGCATTAAAGTTGGAAATTTAGCTCCAAATCATCTGCCACAACCTGTTGTTTCTTGAGAACCTTCTGCCTGCACAGATGTAAGAGACTTGGGGGGACATGGGCTGGGACCCTTCCCCTTGGGGGTCTTCAAGAGCAGGGGACCCCCCCTTCTTTTAGTGTAAGATTGAAGGATGGACAAAACGACCTTTAGAGGAGAATTGAAAGGAGACAAATAAGGAAAGGAAGAGATGCCAGAGACAGGAGGAAGCATGCTTTCACCCAGGGAGTGGGGAGGTGCCAGCCGGGAAGGGGGAGGCGGTCACCTTGTAGGGCAGTTTTCTGCTTTGCTGGGGACTGGGGCGGTGTGGGATGGTAATGGCCTCTGAAGCCTTGGGACTTCCAGTCTAAGGAGATGGAGGGAGCGATAAGGTTGAGGTGGGGGTTGTAGATGCACTGATAAGCAGGGGGCTGGCAGAGAAAGGAGCACCTGCCTGCCGAGGCAACACTCAAACCATAAAGCTAATCCTGGAGGCGGTGGGGGCGGGGAGGGGCTGGCCCGGTCAGAGCCGCACAGAGCAGGTGCAGGGGGGCTCGCTACCAAGGGCTCTGTCCTTGGGTCTTGGGTGGTGGAGAGAGGGGGGCCCAGGAACGGGCTCCCACCTCTGGGTTTCCACCCTCTCACTTGCCCAGGCCCACTGCACGGGGCCACTTCTATGTGGATAGTTTTTGATAAAGACAGTACAGTACTGTAAACATATTTTCTCTTCCATACGATTTTCTTAACAATTTTCTCTAGTGTACTTTACTACAAAAATACAATATCTAATACATACAGCATACAAAATATGTGTTAGTTGACAGTTTATGTTTTTGGTAAGGCTTGCAGTCAACAGTAGGCTATGAGTAGTTATGTTTGGGGGAGTCCAAAGTTACACTGGGATTTTTGACTGCGCAGGGGGTCAACTCTACCGCCTCTTCTTTAAGGAGTTCCTTGCTCTCCTCTGGCTTCTTCCCCTCACTCCTCCACCCTTGTCATATCCCCCACCACAACCCTATTTCTCCCTCCTTCCTTCTCATGCTCCCTCAGCCTTCTGTGGACACAAACACCTATGACCCCTCTCCCTCAGGTAGCAGCTTCCCTGCAGTCTCGGGAGACTCAGTGATGGCCAAAGAGCCCCTCATTACACTGTCAGGTCCCAGAGCCCCTTGGCGCTAAACCAGTCAGACCTCATGTTCTGATGTGATGAGGAGAAAGAAAATGAATCATACCTGGGTTTTATTTTCTAGGAAATACTCTCCCACTCCAGGTACCCATAGCCATGTAGGGAAAGGTTTTAAATACTACACTTTAAAACATTAATAGTGATTGGGGCGCCTGGGTGGCTCAGTTGTTAAGCATCTGCCTTCGGCTCAGGTCATGATCCCAGGGTCCTGGGATCGAGCCCCGCATCGGGCTCCCTGCTCCGCGGGAAGCCTGCTTCTCCCTCTCCCACTCCTCTGCTTGTGTTCCTGCTCTCGCTATCTCTCTCTCTGTTAAATAAATAAATAAAATATTTAAAAAAATAATAATAAATAAAATTAAAAAAAAATAAAACATTAATAGTGATTTTCACTGAATGGTGGAATTACTAGCCCTTTTTGCTTTTCCTACTTTTAAATACTTTTATAATAAAAACAATTACATTCCTGCAGGATTTCTCTCTTCCAGCGCAGGGAATGGGGCAGGTGGGTAGTGAGGAAATATGAGGAATGGTGGTCAGTACAACCCAGTTCTTTCCACACCAGCGTGCCCCACCCCCAGCAGCCCTCCCTATCGATATGCACAGAGCATGAGAGGGCTTCTCTTTTTGCCGGGAACCAAGAGGCTCCTCCCCCAAAGTAACCAGATTAGTGATTTTTTTTTTCCACCCAAGCATTGTTTCCTGGACCTGAAGGTCAATGAGTGCAAGGTGGGGTGAGCAGGGTCACTTGCTTCCTTGAATCTTTCTTCTCCCACCATCAAGTGACCTCCTGGATCAGCAGGAAGAAAACAAGAGGCATTGAGAGCCTCCAGGTGAGCTCATCTGCTAGCAGGGGTCCATCTGTGGGAAGGAGTCTCCACTTGCACTCCCATGTCTATAATTCTCTTTCCAGAAAGGGTATACATTTCTGTGCATGGCCCAGCCCCTGCATTTGGTGGTTCACTCAGGTGTGGGATGCATGGGCTCCAGGAGTGGTGTGAGCTGGTTGTGATAGCTCAGGTGTGCCTGCAATCTTCTCCCACCTGCCCCAGCACCCTTCCTGTAGCTCATGGCCTGCACTGGTTTCTGGTTGTCCAGGCCGATCTTCATCCTAACTCCCAAGCTTACCCCACCCCTCCCCACTCCATCCCAAACCATCTCTGCTCCAGGAGGTAATTAGCCACAGCCCATTACTGCCAACACATCTGTGCTCACCAGGTTCATGGGCATGGCGGGCCTGGGGCACTGAGGCAGGTTTCTTGAGATCTGTTGTTTGGATCCTCGCCTCTCTGCCACACTGGTTCTTCTCTAAGGACTCTACTTCCATCGAGCAAGGAGTTTAGAGAATGAGCATCTAACAAGTTTTTCTTTGTATCTGAGAATAATAAGAGGCTATAAAACTAGAGAAGCGGGGTTTCAGTCTACCAGTACAAGAGGGCAAAGGCTCAGGGAGAGGAAAGTCTAGGGGAGGGTGAGGAATGAGGGAATGGTTTCTGCTTGGATGGAGGGGACCCTGTTCTGTCTCTCATACACGCACACATGTGCATACTCACACACGCGCACACACACACACACACCATGTACACTTTCCTCCCTCTCCACCTGTGCCTCTCCACCTCCCTCATTTTTGATGGGCCTGAGTTTCATGTACAGCCCAGGGCTTGAGGATCGGATATTTTCACATCTGCTGTGGGCCTCAGCCTCTACAAGCCACTTTCCTTGGAGAGAGGCCACATGGAAGAGAGGAAGAGGTGATGTCTAGAATGAAAAGAGGTGGTAAAGGATCCTGCTTTACCCCTATTGTCTGGGTGATGCTAAGGGCAAGAGTCATGTCTTTTGGGAAGCTCAGTTTCCTCATCTGTATAATGGGTATGATGATCCTATGACTTTGAGTCCCGGTTGCTATGTGGATCTCATGACAAAATGGATGTGAAAGTACTTGGCAAACTCTTCAGTCATTTGTTTGCTCTCCACAGGATGACCCACTACGATCATCCTAGAAGCCTCTGCCGTCTGCTGCTGGCTACTCACCACTTTCTTGCCTGACAATGGAACTCTCTAATGACCTGAATGAGGGGCAGTCCCATGGCTGTGATGTCACAAAGCTCATGAAGTCAGAGGTCCTATGGAAGGGAAGGGAAGAAAACGGTGCTGGGAAGCAGTAAGGGCTGGAACAGGGGCAGGGGAGGGAGGTGGGGGAGCCGGCTGGGCACTGGGGAGTAGGGAAGGCCAAAGGCAGCAGATGGGCAGGCCCATGACTTCCCTGGGCTCCCAGCTCTGCAGGGCAGCATTCCTGGCCACCATCTTGCTGCTGCTGTGGGTCAAGGGAGTGAAGCCTCAGAAAGGCAGCCTGGACCCCAACGAGAGGAGTCAGAACGAGAAGATACCCTCTACAGGTAGGTAGAGAAGAGAGGATGCTGTCTGGAGCTAAGGATCAGATCTCTTTGGAGTCAGTCCCCCACTACTTATCAGGCCAGAGTGAAACCTGAGATAGGTTTGGGTTGTGGGAGACAAGCCCAGCCCCCTATTATTGTAGTGTGAAAGGGTCGGGGAAAGGGTTTAGAGCAGGGTTCTTGGCCAGGGCCATATTCAGGGGCACACCACAGGCTAGCCGAAAGTGCAGCGTCTTGTGTGTGTAGAGGCATGGGTGCATTTGTCTGGGAAGAGTCTCTGGTTTCCGTCCTTCTCTAAGGTGGTCCCTCCAT